GGGCGCCACCAGCTTTTATCCGCCATAACTGGAAGACGCCTTGTTGTTGAAAGGCACTCTTTAGCCCAAAACCCCAAGAAACAAAAACAAAAATACATACAAACAATAGATTTTCTGTGTGGGTAAATAATTGCTAAAATTAACATCAATACATTTTATTACATCTACTAACGGCTAACAACAAAAATTTAAGCCAGCCAAACTAGGAGATCTCCCTTAATGCGAAAGCTTATTGACTAACTAATTTAAAATGGGCGAGGAAAACTTCAAAACCGATGACGTAAGAATCCCTATGGTGGAAAAAGGGTCTCGATTCGGAAAGAGGTCCCCGGTAGAAAACGTGTCAATGGATCTCCAGTAGCGAAGATTCCCCAAAATAAAAAAAACCCTAGGAAGAATAATAGTATTCAGGCGATCGAATGTAACAGTATAAAAAAATACAAATTTAGTTAACAACAATTAACGTAATTGGAAAAGTAATCTTCAAACATTGAATATTAATTATACGCGAATAGAAATTAAATATTTTAGATAATTCAATTATGATTTTTGACCACCCGGTATAACAGTTTTAAAATTACACTCATTTATAAACTTAGTGGTACAAACTGTAAAGATGATCAAAATGGAGTGCGATTGCTGTACGTTAAATTTAATCATTGAAATTTTTGGATTATAAAATAGATTGATTGAGAAATATTTGGTTTCAGTTCCCAAATTGTTCAGTGACATGGAAGATGCTGACTACTATATCAGCGCCACCTTCAACTAACGCTGGCGCTGACTATATACAGGCAGCCAAACGACTACAGAAGAAAAACAATGGATACAAATTAAAAATTATAGTTATTCCGTGGTATTCGTGTGTTATGTTTGTTATTTCAAATAAACATGATAATAGGTAAATGTCTGCGTGTTATTTATTTTGGTTATGAATTACTTGAGAAAAATATAGCTAAATACACCGTTAAAAACAATTTTTGTCAATAAAATTGATTTAATAATATGCTATGAATAAAAATAATATGCTACGGAGATTATTAGATTAGATTATCGGCTTTTGTTTCTTCCTTCTCAAGTTCTTGCTGCATTACTTCAAATTAAACCTGTGCGACAACAACAACAACAAAAATATATGATTCATCGGCAATAAAAGGCAACTGTAACACAATTCAAAAAATTAAAACTTGAGGTAATGGAATTGATACGTGGATGCCATATTTTAGAGTAAAATTGACAGATGAAAATGACAAGATGACCGCTGGGCACCATCTTGGCAAAAAAATTATATGAAAACGGGGGTCTTGTGGCACATCATTTTGAAGCTCCTGACGAGGGTTATAATACCCCTAGAATATAAAGTCAATACCTTTACCTACTAAAAAATGGTGGTACATTTAATAATTACCTGAATACATTGACATTTAACTTGATAATTCGAATAAATACGTCGAGTTCAGTTTAGAAGATGCTGGAAATAGTTGCCTTGAACTTCTTGACACAATAACAGCCGGTCCATAATTACGCGTCGAACATTTTTAAACATAGTAACATCGATATTTCTACAAACATTTTTTATTCTCAGCCGTAAATCCAATATTGAAGCAGGTTCAGTTTCGTACACCTTTTGCTTCAAATAGCCCCATAAAAAAGTTGTCAAATCTGGCAATCGAGCTGGCCATACCACAGGACCTCGACGGCCAATCCAACGACCGGGGAAATTGTTATCTAAATAATTCCTAACTTGTCTGTGGTGGAGCACCATTTTGCTGGAATACAATCTCAGTATCGAATTCATTAGGATTCGCTTCGACGATTTCGGTAATTAGAGGGTCAATACGAGGGATGTCTTTTAAGTTTTGCATATGGAAATAAAACAACACGGCAGGTAGTTTTAAATGACTTTATTGCTTTTCGAAGTATTCTCCACGAAGATTAATACATATCTGCATGCGCTCGAACCAATTTTCGAAGCACTTATTCCACTCGTTTGCTGGCAGATCCAAAACGGCATTTTTGAATGCGTCAACTGCTTCTTCTGGTGACTGGAACCTTTGACCGCGCAGTCTGTTTTTAATTTTCGGGAAAGTAAAGAAGTCGTTAGGACTTAGATCGGGTCTATATGGAGGATGGTCCAATAATTCCACGTTTTCTTCCGTTAAATACTGCCTTGTTTTTTGAGCTGTGTGCGAGCTTGCATTGTCTTGGTGGAGTATGATTTCGGGGTTGATTTTTCGAAGCTCGGTGATGACTTTTGGCAAACAAATGGTGGTGTACCAGTCCGCAGTAACAGTTCTTTGCTCATGAGGAATTATTGCAATATTGGAACACCCAAACAGCCGACTGTCGTTTATTTTCTGGTTCATAACAGTAAGTCCACGATTCATCACCACTAACAATGCTGTACACATTTTTTGAGTTTCCGGAATTGAAACGGTCAAGCGTTTTTTGACAAATTAACCCTGGCTGTCTTCTGCTCTTCAGTCAACAGGTGGGGTATCCAACGAGAAACTAATTTTCTTACTCCTAATTCTTCATGTAAATTTTTTTGAATTGAGGTCTTTGAGATCTTCAAGGACGCCCCAATCTCGCGATATGTCACATGTCTATCTTCAATGATGAGTCTGCGCACAGCATCGACGTTTTCCTGGGTTACTGCCGTTTTTGGTGTATCCACACTGGGATCGTCGCTAAGACTCACCCGTCCACGTTTGAATTCTCCATACAACGGGAAATTGTCGACTGATGTGGCGCTTCGTTGCCGAAAACAGACAGTAACTCAGCAAGGCATTCTTGTTACGATAATTATCTCTGAAAGTTGTAATAAATTTTGGCGAGAAAATGTTCTCGGTTGAGTTCCATTTTTCTAATGACTTGGTGACACTTAAAAATTCACTGTAGTGAGAGCACTGCACGTATTGTTGTGAAACTTTGAATTTAAGTTTACTAAAGAGTGAGGTTAAGATTCAGTACTGACGTTCGATCCGCGCAGCCTACTATAATCAAATTCAAGCGGATAACCAAATGGAAATGGTATTTACCATTTTGGGTTGGTATTTACCAATCCGTTCAAGCGAGTGTAGTTATCAGTTTGGTTATAAGATCCGTGACGTCACGAATCAGCTGTTATATGTCATAGTTATCACCGCAAAATTGTGGTATTTACCCAACTCAAGAGTAGTTTTATATTTCTGGTTATTATTTGAAATGTGACAAGTTAGAATTTTGCCGGGTATTGGATATTGTTATTGTACTTCAGCTTCATTTTTGAGAAAAACGATACAGGCTGACGTCAGTTTTACCATAAAGTGGAGCACCTTATTAGTTGTACTCATTACGGTTGTTGGGGATACTTTAAATGTAGTTCCTATGCTTAACAAAGTATCCTGTGTAGCCATATACCACAAGAATATTAAAATATGGCCATATAAACTCACTAGATGATATCCACCTGTATACGGTTTTGCTAATTTCTTTTTTCATCATTTCTGCTGAATCAATAAATGTTTTCTTTGACATGCGGAAAAATTTAGAGAATTGAAAGTTATCATAGCTACAAACCCATGGTTAGATCATTAAAAAAAAAATCTGAAAAAAACATTTCTCCATGAATATTATGAAAGGTTTCTTATTTAAACTTTCCATATACAGTTGTAGACGAAAAAGCACCGATTATTAAGTGATAATAAAAATAATCAGAGATTATATACGCGCTTTTCTAAAATAAACAACTTGCAACAAAAACCGCGGTTAAAACCAACGCGTTCAAGCGATTCGTGTAACTGACGTCATCAACCCGTGTGTCATCTTGAACCATATTATAACCGCGGCACATAACACAGAAATTTTGGTTATTCGCTTGGATTTGATTTATGTTTCTATATGCAAAACTTAAAAGACATCCCTCGAAGTATTTTCCAGCATATCCAAATACAGTTCCCCGGTTAAAGTTTGTTCCATGAATAGAGGCCCCAATATCCCAACCCAAACGTTAATTTTTTGTGGATATTGAGTATGAGTTTACCGGAACACTAGTGAGGATTGGTGTCACTCCGATAACGACACTCGCAGAATTCTGTTGTTTGATGAGGGTCATCTTTAGTTAGCTGATGTACCATTTGAGTTTTGTATGGGTGATAGTTATTCTTTTTCAAAAGTCTCCATACAATAGAAGTACAAAGCTCACATACATTCGCGATGGAGGAAGTAGACTGTTAGGGATTTACTATGATCTCACCAATTATTTGAACTTGCTTTTCTTCCGGGATCGTCGGATGACCTGGGGGCTTTTTGTTGTTTACACTACCAGTACCGGTAAACTTAGATACAAGTTCCCTTAAATATTTTCTACAGATAGGATGATTCGGGGAACGATCATTAAAAATCCTTTCGGTCTCTTGAAAGTTACGCGTCGCACCATAAATAAAAATCGAAGCGGTTTTTCTTCCAATGGACGAGAATAATTGACTATTTTAAACATAGTTCAAATGGTATCTACCACTAAAACCGAAAACTAAATAAGAATATTTTAATTATTGTACAATGATGTTTGTTTTCGTACTGATATTCTCGTCACTGTCAACAAAAAATAACAAAACAAGTTTTTATGGCTGTTGATGTGGATACGGCAGGGAATTACAATTATTTGTAGAGATATGCCTGCACGTTAGTGGGTTTGTGTTCAAGTAATTATTAAATGTACCACCATTTTGTAGTAGGTAAAGGTTATAAAGGGTTATAAAGTACTCATCAGGAGCTTCAAAAAAATGATGTGCCACAAGACCCCCTTTTTCATATTTTTTTCCAAGTTGGCGCCCAGCGGCCATCTTGACATTTTCATCTGTCTATTTTACTCTAAAATATGGTATCCACCTATCAATTTTATTACCTCAAGTTTTAATTTTTTGAATTGATCCATTCAAAAAATCAAAAGGGAGGGGGACATTAAAGGAAAGCACTGTATATATACTTTTATTATTCATATTTCTTATATTACATTTCACAAATAATACAATTCATAGCATTACTTGATATTTAAAGAAAATGAAAATTCATATGATGAACTTTTATGGGTTACCTTATATTTTCCCGGAATCACCTTTACGAAAAAATAAAAACAACAATGCAGTTCTCTGAGTGATAAAACCACAATCATAATTTCAGGTGTACCTTAACTAGATAAAATCATATTGTGTTTTATAGAGCAGGGTAGGTATCCACATTCTCAAAAGTGCTGAGCAAATCTCTAAGAATCTACACAATGCAAATGACATACATGCTCTTTGCTTTGGTAGTGCAAATCATTTTTGAGAATGTGAATACTTGCTGTGAGCAGCTATTGACCTCAAGGAGAGCACTCACTTATTACTGGAAGATGATTGAACATTCCCCAATCAAGTTCTGTCAAGGTAATTACCATACATCCATACTCTGCTCAATAAAGGTTAATGCCTTTATTCAGCTTAATAAGTTAAGATCTTCTTTATTATACTTTATTCAAGACTTCTAGCAACAGTACTGTCAAATCTTTTGCTGTAGGACGCTTTTCTTTTTCTTCAGTGGTACAGCAGTAATATGTCTCTAAAACTAGATCATAGTCATGATCTAGTTCTACATCTGGCAAAGCTGGCCTTAACCTGGTCTTCTGGTTCTCAGAATCTGATTCATCAAAAGATCCGCTACAATGGAAGCTTTCATCAAATTGTTTAGAATCATCATATACAGGTGGGGAAAGTGCAATCATTTCCCAAATAACAAGACCAAATGCGTAAATATCTGCCATTGTTGTAATATCTGGAGGATCAATTAGTACCTCAGGTGAACACCAACAAGGTGTCCCAGTATACTCACAATCTTTTCCAACTTTCAATTTATCAACCCTTCCTGATTTTGTCACTGGCAGGCAAACTCCAAAATCACAAAGCTTACAAATCTCAAAGTCTCCTTTAACAAGTACATTGTGTGATTTCACATCACAATGCATCAGTAGAGCACTATTGTGTAAATAGTCCAAAGCTCTAGCTAGATCATATGCTACCTGCAAGATTATTTTGGCTTCATAAGGACCTTTTTCATTTTCGAATCGCTCTTCTAACATATCCCCTAGACAGGTATCACATTCCTCCATCAGTAGGGAGCTCGTTCCGCCCGATTTTTTTATGAATCCTCTGAAGCCTATAATGTTTGGATGGCTTAGCTTACGCAAATATTCAGCCTCTGTCTGTAAACGCTTTTCTAAAGCCTTGTTCTTACGGCAGTGCTTGAGAAGCTTTTTCACGGCCCAAGGAGACAGAGTTCTGTTCAATGGAGCTCTTTGAAGTTCGTAAACTCCTACTCCTAAAACAACGATCCTGTATTATAATGTATAACCTGGGGGAAATAGACATACCTGTCCCGTAGCCAATTTTCTTCATCAAAGGAGAAGCTGGAACCTCAATTACATTGTTGAATAGTTTATTCTTGAGTGGAGTAACAGATAAGTTCATTTTCCCAAAGTTTTATTGAAAAACTATACAGAACCAAATATCCGTTACGTCTTGCATTTAAATCTTCACACAAAAGTGTCAGTGAAGTGCCACGCAGTGTTGCCAGAAGGAGTCGACGATATTTCGGTAGAAGTGTATGGAATTTTGGAATGAAGGCTTAAAACTTAAAACAATTTTATTTAACTCAAAATATACTCTTAAACAGAAAGACAAAACAAAAATAAACAGTTTATTTAACTCAAAATATACTCTTAAACAGAAAGACAAAACAAAAATAAACAGTTTATATCTCACTTCAGCTAACTAAAGATAAAATATTCTTGATAAAAAACAGAAAAAGTGTATAAAACAATAAATGTATAAGCTATATTGGATAATCGTTCTTCCGATTCATTTTTGTATAAGTTTGTTTTTATCAGTCATATTATCTACTAATTTTGCTTTGCTAAATGGTTCATCAGCAGGAATGGCAAATTATGCTCGGCCAAAAATGCGCTCAAACGAATTTCTCCTGGAAATAATAAAATAATCTAAATAATCTCAAATCTTCTCAAATTGATTGATTAATTTTACCTTCTTTAATATCATTTTCTAATTTCTTTGATGCACCTGCAATGACAACAGTTTTGGCTGTTCTGCTACGGTTTGCACTTTTTTATGAAATTGCCCATTTGCGTGTTTTATAAGTGCATCTCTTCCACTTTCGATATTAATATCTTTATCACAGACCATGCATTTCTTTTTTAAGTCAGTCTTGGAAATCTGGATATTCTTCAGAGTCTTTCTTATAATGTTGGGCACACGCACGCGAAAAATGACTGCAAGCCAGGCAATATTACTACAGGCCAAATTCGGAATTACTAAGTGCACGAAATCATACAAATCGTACAATACAGGCATGGACTTGTCACGAGCCGCTAGGCCTAGGCGATGTAGCCAAATCATCGAGTATCTTCGGTGATTCCTCAGATGCGAAGAATTAACGTATTCTTTTTATCGCTATGCATCAGAAATATTTCTCTTATATAGGGAACAAAAATTATTCAATTGAAGGAAAAGTCCACTTTTCGGTAGATTTTGCTTTAAAATCGGTAGTTCGGTAGACCAGGATCAAAATCGGTAGATCTACCGAAAAATCGGCAGACCTGGTAACACTGCTGCCATGTGCCACAAAACATACACTGACGAACACAAAACAATGAACTGTCAACACTGATGGAATCGCCCCGTCCCATTTGTACAATGAAACGATAATGCGCCCAACATACGACAAAGAGGTCCGAGAGAGAGAGAGAGAGATGGAGCTAGTCAGGGCAAAAAGCGCGCGGACTTGAATGAATTGCATAGAGAAGATTTAAAAGTTATTCAGGCAACTGGAACGAGATAAAATCCTGGAAACGTAATTATAATTAAAAAACCAAGTTTATTTATTTATATATACATATAATAATAATAATAATTAACGTCTTTTATTTGTAATATTCTTACAGGAGGCGAGATTTAGATTATATATCTATTCTACCATCTAACCCCCTTAACAATACGAGATGTAAAAAAAAAATAAAAAGAGTATATTGAAAATTAATAGGCACCTGTATACAATAACGAATAATCCAAGTAAATACATAAGGAAAATATGAGGACACTTATGGGTTACAACCGATTTCGCTGCTAATCAAGAAGGACTTCTTTCACTTTTTTCTCGAATTTGGATAATGGATTGGTTTCTTTTAAACTGCGGTCTAAAGAATTATATGATTTGATCGCATTGTAAATGTATGAATTCTGAAATAGAGACGTGGAATTGAAAAAGTCTCTCTATATCTAATATTAATACGATGCATATTCTCGCTACGTATGAATTTGTTTACTAAATATGACGGTGTTTTTGAATAAAGAACCTTATGAGTCAGATTTAGGAGCTGGTACTCATACATTTTATCAATTTTCATCCACTTGAGTTCATTAATGGCATTCGATATATGATCATATTTTCTGAGATCATTTACAAGCCTGCAACATGTATTCATAATACTTTGAATACGATTTTTTGTTATAATATCTAAATAGGGATAGTAAACCACTAAGCAATACGATATCTTTGAAAATACGAAATATTCACACAATTGCTTTCTCGCAGATTTTTGTAATATAGCCTTATTTGCAAATAATAGAGTAGCACTGAGTAATTAGATAGTTCACGTGTGCAACAAATTTTAAGTCATCATCCATTATAATACCTAGGTTTTTCGAATGATCCACAGGAATTAATTTATTACCTTTTAAATGTATGTCTATGTCCTTTTTTAAGGTATTCTTTTTTGTTCTATTTGCGTATACCAACATATTTGTCTTCAAAGGGTTCAAACAAAGATTATGACTACTACTGAACTTTTCAATTTGGGCTAGATCTTGATTAATTTTATTATTTGCCGTTTCCAAGCCATTACTCCTAAATGAATAGAAAATTTGAGTATCATCTGCAAAAAATTGTATGCTGCATGATTTTACCTCTGTTTCTAAATCTGAGATATATAATGAAAATAATAGCAGTCCTAATACTGATCCCTGTGGTACACCAGAAAATTTTTTGTTCCGTAGATTACTGTTGATTTAGACGAACTTTTTGATACCGATTTTCAAGGTAGGTTTGAATAAATGAAAGAGGTTTTTCAGAAAATCCATAGTAACTGCATTTAGATACAAGAAGTGAGTGATTAATGGTGTCAAATGCTTTAGTAAAGTCAAGAAGTATGAGAGCTACTGCTTTTTGGTTATCAAATGCCATTGTTATATTGTCTGTTAAATCACAGAGTGCCGAAGCTGTATTATGACCTTGTCGAAATCCAGATTGTTTAGATGGAATAATTTTGTTACAATATAAGTAGGCGCAGAGCTGCTCGTAAACAACGAGTTCCAATACTTTAGAAAAAATTGGCAGTAGATTGATTGGTCTTAGTTGACCATAGTATGAAACTTGACAATAAATTCTCCTTTACACCTTTGAAGATATAAAAATTAGTATTTAACATAAGTAATTAATATTTCAGGTAGCAAAGAGATTACATGTCTGCTTATAATTATCTCAACTGCTCTAATATGCTATATCTTACATATAAAAAAATTAGAGATCTAAGAAATATCACAATAAATACATGTTATTTTCTATATATCTTTATAATGTACCAAATAGTATTTATGCACATTTAAATTTATTTTTATAGTACTAAATGTAGTGGGAACACGTCCAGTTTTGTAGAAATTAAAGTGTAAAAAGAAAAAACACTTATATATATATATATATATATATATTTATATATATATATGTATACAAAATATTTGTGCACAATGGCATTAACAATACTGTAGATGCACAGTTTTTCATTATAATACAATATAGGTTATACCATAGTTCATTCTAGAAATTATGTATTCATGTTTTCTTTTCAAAACCCTTCGATGGCTAGGTTCTTTCTTGAGATGGGCTGGAAAATCAAACACAGATTGAACTGCCACCTTTTTTAGTACCTTATTTCCATGAACACTAACTTCATAATCCTCTGGAGTGAAACGCTTTTCACAAATTACCGTTGTTGTACTGGGAGTAAAGTTTTCTCTTCTTATAGCATGTAACCACAACTTCCTCATGTTAGGATCTGTAGGCTGTAGGTATCCTAAAAATCCAGATATTTTCTCGAATTACCAATTAACAGCTAATTCTCACACAAAAATGAATGGGATGATTAAAACCAACTTGTGAAACTTCATTTTCACATCTTTTCTGCGTCTATTGCAACAATTCACCGCACTGCAAGATTCAACCATTTTTAAACAAATATCACATAAAACAACAGCTCTTGAAGGCTGTCAGGCATAAAATGTTTATAATAATTCTGGCAAACTATAATCAAATCCAAGCGGATAACCAAAATTTCCGTATTACGTACCGCGGTTATAATATGGTTCAAGATGACACACGGGATGGTGACGTCAGTTACTCGAATCGCTTGAACGCGTTGGTTTTAACCGCGGTTTGTTGCAAGTTGTTTATTTTAGAAAAGCCCGTATATAATTTCTGATTATTTTTATTATCACTTAATAATCGGTGCTTTTTCGTCTACAACGGGGTATGGAAAGTTGAAAAAAGAAAACTTTCATAATATTAATGGGAGGAATGTTTTTTGTAGCTATGATAACTTTCAATTCTCTAAACTTTTCGGCATGTCAAAGAAAATATTTATTGATTTAGCAGAAATGATGAAAAAGCGATGAAAAAAAGATATTAACAAAACCGTATACAGGTGGACATCATCCAGTGAGTTTATACGGCCATATTTTAATACAGGATACTTTTTTAAGTGTAGGAACTAGATTTAAAGTGTCCCCAACAACAGTGATGATTATAAATAATAAGGTGCTCTCTTATGCTAAAACTGAAGTCAGCCTGTATCAAGTTTCCCAAAAATGAAGCTGAAGTACAATAAAAATATCCAATATCCGGCAAAATTCTAACTTGTCACATGTCAAATAATAACCAGAAATATAAAACTACTCCGGAGTTGGGTAAATATACCACAATTTTGCGGTGATAACTATGACATATAACAGCTGATTCGTGACGTCACGGATCTTATAACCAAACTGATAACCACACTCGCTTGAACGGATCGGTAAATACCAATCCAAAATGGTAAATACCATTTCAATTTGGTTATCCGCTTGAATTTAATTTATCACTATTAATCTTTAACGTCACTAAAAACAAACATTCACCAAAAATCCTTAGAACATATATGGAAATACCACAATGTTTTGCCCTGACTAGCGCTTCTCTGCTAGCGCTATCCTTCTCGTTTCTCATTCTAGCCGCAATGAATTCGCGTTACGCCTGTTCCATCAGTGCTGACAGTTCATTGATGTTCTTATGTGTCAGTAATCAAATTCAAGCGAATAACCAAATGGAAATGGTATTTACCATTTTGGATTGGTATTTACCGATCCGTTCAAGCCAGTGTGGTTATCAGTTTGGTTATAAGATCCGTGACGTCATGAATCAGCTGTTATATGTCATAGTTATCACCGCAAAATTGTGGTATTTACCCAACTCGGGAGTAGTTTTATATTTCTGGTTATTATTTGACATGTGACAAGTTAGAATTTTGTCGGGTATTGGATATTTTTATTGTACTTCAGCTTCATTTTTGGGAAACTTGATGCAGGCTGACTTCAGTTTTAGCATAAGAGAGCACCTTATTATTTATAACCATTACTGTTGTTGGGTACACTTTAAATCCAGTTCCTACGCTTAACAAAGTATCCTGTATAGCCATATACCACAAGAATATTAAAATATGGCTGTATAAACTCACTGGATGATGTCCACCTGAATACGGTTTTGTTAATATCTTTTTTTCATCGCTTTTTCATCATTTCTGCTAAATCAATAAATATTTTCTTTGACATGCGGAAAAGTTTAGAGAATTGAAATTTATCATAGCTACAAAGCCATGGTTCCATCAGTAAAAAAAATTTTCTGAAAAAAAAACTTTCCTCCCATTAATATTATGAAAGTTTTCTTTTTTTCAACTTTCCATACCCCGTTGTGGACGAAAAAGCACCGATTATTAAGTGATAATAAAAATAATCAGAAATTATATACGCGCTTTTCTAAAATAAACAACTTGCAACAAACCGCGGTTAAAACCAACGCGTTCAAGCGATTCGAGTATCTGACGTCATCATCCCGTGTGTCATCTTGAACCATATTATAACCGCGGTACATAATACGGAAATGTTGGTTATCCGCTTGGATTTGATTATTGCCATCGTAACTTTGAGCATAGAGCCACAGATAAGTAGAATTTCGATGGAAAAGTGAGAAGCACCACCCTTTATTAGATTAGCGAATAAGGAAAAGCAAACCCGCCCCGTGATCACTGGTGTTTATAAAACCACGCCCTCGCTTCGGCATTCTATTGGACAGTGTTGTCATATGGCCGGCTGCTTGAATTCCACAAAACACAGACTGAAGAAGTGGGAGCTGCACGTTAAACGATCGCAGCACCATTGACGTTTGTCAAATGGTTGTGCCACCTACTTGCCCGAGATCTGGAGGATCTATCGAAAAACTGCCGAGAATGAGCCTGGTATAAGTAATGCTAGGAATGTGGAATGGATTTCGTTTGTTCATAATTTTAAATTTGCTGAAAATGATATTTCCCATATTATACACATGCAACCTACCCTTGTGTGTGAACGTTTGTTCGGTAAGCTCAAGGACATACCTTTTTTAGTTGTGTGTATCGAAAACTTTGTCGAGTGCCCTTCGATCATATTTGTCAGAGTGACAACTTACTTGACATCGGCGTGCAATTCGAGTTGTCCTGTTATCAATCTTCAATATAAAATTGTACAATGCCCGGAATTACGGTCAATGGAGAAGGCCGACAGCTCGAGCTAAATTTATTGGAGTATTTCCAGGCGGTCCCCTGTTACCCACTTCATGCGTACTGGAGAGAGTAGCAGATGCGCTGAAGATTAGTCTGTGCAGTGCTACGCCCATGGTACCGAGACTCGATCTGTTTACTTATTTCATATGGCGTTGATGACGTAACCGCCAAGAACAGTGACTACAACTATATCTCTTTCAGCAGTTTTGCTGAGAACAAGGTTCACTAATTATGAAGCACAAAATATTTTATAATATGTTAAAAAAATAATCATAATGGTATAAAAATTGTATATTACATGAAAATATAGTTAGATTGTATTCCAAATTCCATATTCATGTTGTGTTGCAAAACACAGGTGTGTCACTTCATTCAATTGCTTCTTGATAATTCTGAAGCAATACAGAAAGCACTATTGTAATTCATAATTCTTTGTGAATAAGCTAGTCACTTTTAATAAGTTTGCTCAGTTCTATGTCATTAATTTTTTGGCCTAGATGGGCAGAATTTTGCGTTATAAAGCTTAGGGCTTTATGACTGTACTCTGCCGATATTACCATGTCTTATTTAATACAAAAATAAAACTTTCGTACTTTATAATTATAAGGATGCCAACTACAAGGTTTATAAATAGGCTGAGTCCAGACATGCAATTTTAAATAATCTACCGTCTGTCTACACCATGCCTATATATGTTAAATTCACAGCCTACCTGTAGCACATGATGACATGACAATCTCCCGAACTTCTGCATCTCCCGCAATACACACAATACATCTCACGTATATCCTCACAGCTACTGATAGTGTTGTTTTATATTTTAGACTCATTTTTAACGCAATATCTCCGAAAGCATCAGCGTTGATAATCTGGATATTAACCAAAACAAACGCCATATTTGATATTTTGTACATGTGTTTTTACATTTAATGTAGTTTCCTCGATTTTGGCTGGAGAAGATAACCTTGGTGTTGCCAGTTCGTCTGTAAGACGTTTCACCGCTTGATTTTTTTACTTTTCATCCATGATCTTTTTATCTGACTTCCTCAGGAGGGTAATGCTTTTCGCGCTTAAGTTTTTGTCCATTATGTATCTCACGTCTTATCTGCGAACTGGTCGTCCTCGGGTCCTCCCTAGGCAAAATCCAGCTAACTGTGTTACCGGCATCACGTGACGAGTTGCTTGCCGGGATTCAGGGTTGCCAGGCGTGGTGATTTTTCTCCAAAGTGGCAATTTGACGGCTTCAAATGGATAGCTTGTCGATTGGTTACTTTAATGGCGCCCAGTATCCAGCAAACTGGCGATATCTGGCAATTTTTAACAGTTCTCACGCCAATTAATTTCTGTATACAGGGATAACCAAATTTGTCTGACGACTTGAGTTCAATGTGTACGAGAGAGAAGTGCGAGAAGTGTTAGAAAGAGATAGAGAGCTAAGGTCATCACCACATTGCCTAGCAACGGTGACGCAGAAGCTCGTGCATGTTTCACCAGAAAATGTTCGCACAGGGTTCTACAATAGTTTAGGTTACTGTCAAACCCAAGAAGAAGGCCTATTCGAAGCAGTGCGACACTGCCCAATGAGCGCTACTACGTATAGATGGGTACTGACCAATAATATCGTTCTTATATGATCATTTAGGTGGAAACCTTGGCTTGGAATGTACAAGATCCGATGTTATCAAACGAACCAATGATGCAATGTTGCAGGATTTACGACGATCCTGACCTTTCATTCCAACCTAAAATGCAACACCATTAGGACCGATCTGGAATCGATACTAAACAGATTCAACACAATTCACAATTAAAAAATGTGTACGCCCAAAATAAAACCATTATTTGGGCGTAAAGAATAAACTGACGCATATTTTCAACATTCATCTCAATTTAAGGAACTGGTGTAACATATTGCCGGCTTCTATCTATTTCTAACATATGTGTCTTTACACACTTCTCTTTCGAACACATTAAACTCAAGCCGTCAGACAAATTCGGTTCTCAGTGTATAATATGTGTAGAAGTATCAATTCTCACTACATCCTGAGCTGCTCAAAATTTCCCAGCATATCTTGGACACAGTTCAACATCAGACTCGCTCACATTCTAAGCAGATATTGTTTAATATGATGCATGTAATTTTTTTTTCAAAGATATTTTCCATCTAGTTTCCATGAACAGTTTTGTTTGTTGATTGATAAGATTCGAAACAAAACAATGAAATCGCTTTGCATTAGTCCCATTCCTACATGATTAACTGGAGTTTAAATTGAACTTAGAAAACAATTTCACGATGACAAAAACCAGCACGATATAAATCTTAGGCACAGGGTAATGTCGCAGCGTAATGGCAGTTGGGCTTTCTGGACTTCTCACACAGTATAACCTTCACCACTCACGCGTCAGGATGGAACGATTGTATCCGACTCAAAGGCCAAGGCGGAAGTGCTTGCCAAGGTCTTTGCTGCCAACTCCACCATGGACGTCCCCCCCAACGCACAAGTGCCGTCAATTCAAAGGGTTCCCTACACTATGCGGCATAAGACGTAAGACGAGTGCTCTTGTCGCTTGACATCAACAAAGCGTCTGGCCTGGACTGTCATTGTACTGAAAAGATATGCAGCGGAGCTTGCTCCAGTTCCTGCGCGTCTCTTCCAGATATCTTAGGAATCCGGCTCCTTCCCAGAAAACTGGAAATTTGCTCATGTCCGACCCATCCCAAGAAAGGATCTAAGACCGACCCTTACAACTACAGGCCTACAGCTGTGCTTTCTGTTATAAGTAAGGTGATGGAGAGGTGCATAAATCGCGAGCTTCTCGACTACCTCGAACGTCACAGCTTGATTAGCGACAGGCAGTATGGTTTCCGGCACCCGCGATCGACGGGGGACCTCCTAGCTTACGTCACAAAATTGTGGAGTAGACTCATCCAGTCTTATGGTGGACTCTTGTCGTTGCTCTTGACAACACGAAATCGTTCGATCAGCTGTGGCACGCTGCCCTCTTATGCAAACTTCCATCCAATGGCCTCCCAGATCCCAGAAAAGTTTCGCAGATGTGTGGCTGACTTTATCTCAGGCCGCAATATATCTGTCGTAATTGACGGATTCTCTTCTTCATCCCACAACGTCAACGCGGGTGTTCCCCAGGGATCGGTCTTGGCTCCGACACTGTTCCTCGTACGTATCAACGACCTCCTTTCCTGTACGATCAACCCAACCCACAGCTTTGCTGATAACAGTACTCCATGCAGGAATTCAGAGTGACAAGCCGATCTCTGCCGCTGATTGGAAAAAAGAAGACTAGCGATGACTTCCTCTCTGGCGAGAGAGATCTTATTACTGCTTGGAGACGCAACAATCCTGTACAGTTTAATGCTTCCAAAACATAGTACTGTACGTTGACGAACAAAAAGCGACATAGCGCTCATCCGGTTTCGATGAATGGCCGAGTTCTGCCAAAGAGCCATTCATGTCGGCTGGTCGGAGTCCAGATCATCGAGGACCTGATCTGACACACACACACATATTGCTCTTTTTTTTAAGTTTTTTTTGTTTTTTTAACCAATACTTTTTACTTATTTTTCATTTTTTCTACTTTGTTTCCAAGATTGCTTTTTTTATTATGCATATACAGGGTGTCCGCAAAGTTGGGGTTTTCCTTTTCAGAAACAACTACCCTTGAAATAACAAAGGTAGTGTGTAAAGAAACAAGGGCGACCAAGTAAAAAAAAATAAAGGAAAAAGTACTCACTCTCCAGTTGACGAGAAGGGCTAAGTACATCTCTGCCCGAAATTATACCGCTCCAACAGAAAATGAAATCAGCTGATGCGCTACCGAGCAGACGCACCATGCCAGCCCAAACATTCACCGAAAATGTTTGTTGAAAATGTGCCCGACGGACAGCGTGCCGATTTTTCTACTGACCAAACATGAGTGTTGCGAAAGTTATTCACCCCATTACGCGTGAACGTAGATTCGGCTGTCACCAATATGCACTTCAAAAAGTCCGGATTATTGTCATGTTGATGCAACAACCACTCACAAAACCGCACTCTTGCTGGAAAATCGTCAGGTTGAAGGGCTTGTACACGTTGGACGTGAAACGGATACAGCCCCTCTTCACGCAGCGTTTGCCACACTTTAGTTGTTGATACTTGCACTTCTCTAGTGTTTGTTGAGGGATTCTCGTCTACGCGATTACCTCGCGTGACCGTAACCGTCGGTTGAAGGTTGCATACTGACCTGACACACTGACCCCGACCCCCGACCCAGTTCTGTCGTTGAGCCAGTGACATTGTACCACTCCGTGATGTCGCGGCTACAGGACGGTATTCAGATATTTTTGATGTTGCAGAGACCTTTATCTCGGTTCCCTTAAGACATTGGTGTATATGGTACTAAGAAAAATTGCTTATGTTTTCAAGATCTACACGTCGTGTAAAGGAAAACCCCAACTTTGCGGACACCCTGTATATATATATATATATTGAAGTTGAGTCATTAATTTTCAGATAATGATTGTAGAAGTAAGATAAACCAAAATATGTGTGTAAAAATAAAAAAAAATAAAAAACTTTTTTTACCTTGTTTTATAAAGTATCCTCCCGACAAGTATTTCAGTGCGGACCTGTATTTGATCGTGAGGTCTTGGAGCACCGGCATGCAGTCCCCTGTGAGGTCTTAAGTCACCTGATTCACGAGCCCGTTGTACTACATTAACAAAGGCACGAGGGGTTGGCTGCACTCGATTGGGAAACCGATCCGCATAAACATGTGCCATTTTTTATTTCATTTGAGCCACGCAACAGACACCACTATTCACTCACGCGTCTCAAACTCTTTCGCTTTTTTGTTTCCGATGCGATGAACCGATAAGGCGGAGTATATCCGTTGTCGCCAAACACGAGCACATATTATTATTGAGACAGGGCGGTACTCAAACTTCTAAAGGGCTATAACTTTGTTACTTTAATTTTACCACAAAAATGTTAAAGGAAAAAAACATTTCTTTTGATCAGATCTACTCACTGTTAAAATAAATGACTCAACTTCGGAGTCACCCTGTATATAAAAACTGAGCTGCCAGTAAATGCGTCTGTTCGATGCGCCACCCTATATATATATATATATATTTACATTTACTGGCAGCTCAGTTTTTTTTTTAAAAACGCTCAGATCCGTCGATTTTGTTTTCGAGTGGGACAAAAGTTTGGCAAAAAATCACGTTAGCGCGTGCAGCTCCCTAAGCGGGAGTGACACCACCCCCAAAATCTTAAATGGAAAGAGGGGTCGAGTGATACCTTATTTTAAAGGTCTTTCAATTCCCTTTATAATGAAATAAAATTAATGTACTTCAGTTCAGTAGTTTTGAAGATTTATTGATTTAAAGCTTAAATAAAACTAATATATCATCATTAGTGGAGATCAATATATTTGGCAGCAAAGTAATTTAAAAATGAAGAATGAACTGACCCGTTAGGCAAGTAAATGTTGAAAATGGCCACCATGACTCTCCATGCAATAATAAAGATTTCGCTCAAAACGTTACCGCATATTTTGCAATATTTGAGGAGTAATTTGAAGGCACGCATTCACAATTCTTTGTCGCAGGTCTTCTAATTATGTTGGTCGAGTAGCATAGATTTTGCTTTTTAAATGACCCCACATAAAGAAATCCAAAGGTGATAAATCTGGCGATCTTGGGGGCCATTCAATGGCACCTCTTCTACCAATCCGTCGATCTGGAAACGTCTGATCTAAATATTGTCGAACACGTAATGCGTAATGTGGTGGGGCACCATCCTGTTGGAACATCAACCTATTTGCAATGTACCGCCGATCATTCTGATTTTCAATTATGGCTGTTAATGCAGGATCTATGGCGTCTTCCAGTAATTCCAAATACATTTCACCGGTCAATTTCCAGGTAAGAAAAAATGACCAACTAAATGATCGCCAAACATACCAGCCCAAACATTTAATTTTTGTGGCTGCTGTGTATGAACCTCATGATAAATCCTGGGATTAGAATCGGACCAATATCGGCAGTAATGACGATTTACTACGCCATTTAAGAAAAAGGAACATTCGTCAGAAAAGCAAGTGTTGAATAGAAAATGTTCATCGTTAATAATTCGTTCACTCATATCTTCACAAAATTGTAATCGCCGATCAAAATCGTCTTCATTAAGTCCTTGTACTAGGTGAATTTTATATGGATGAGAACTATGGGCCTTTAGAATCCGTTGGACAGTACGTGGACTAACACCACACACAGTCTCCAATTTGTGGATACTTAACGTAGGATCTACATAAACTTGCCCTAAAACCCCCACTTCTATTGCTTCGTTCCTTATGGGATTTTCAATGTTGCGTTTTTTATTGGCGAATGACCAACATATTTTCTAATTAAATATTCAAGCTCGGAATCGACCAAAAATGATGCTCGCCCGTCACGTCACTTTGACGTATAGCTGCTTCGGTATAATAGAAAAAAAATACGTTCATTATTATTTTACCATGTGGGACGAACTCTATTTTGATCAATTCTATATCAATTAGAAGACGACTATTCCCAAGCATATGCCGCTGATAATTCAGACGATGAAGCCGTACTTTCATTTTTGTTGCATATGTTTAAAAATATTCCAGAACTAGCTTCCATATTTTAAAACGTAACACCTTTTAAATGAACTAAAGTTGTTCCATCTTTACTATAGCATATCACAGGTAAGTTCTAGTTCTACACATTACTTGGGATCATGGGCAACAACTTTACAAACTACATTCTGATTTGACACACCAAGAGTACCTACCTTCAAAAAGCTAATAGAAAGACCCATCAAGGCATATTATAGGACCTAATCAAAACACGGTTGTTCATATTTCTTTTCTTTATTTAAAATTTTGGCATAAAATAAAAAAACTAAAACTTAGGAGTTAGTAATCAGCCAAACTAAGTTTTGAGCGAAATATCACATGGGACCTCTTAACACACCAAAGCGAAATTTTCCTTCAATCCAATCTCATTCTTAAGTAAATATGCGGAAAAAGTGAAATGAAGTCATTTTCTACCAAAACTCTATATTTTCGATATCAGAAATATACTGATATATTAGCAAAACAGGCTTATAGTAATTCAATTTCAAGCTTTTTCTACGGCAAAATAGCGGTTATTCAAACTAAGTTATACATAACCAGAAAAAATAATAATAATAAATTTGACAGATAAGAATCTAATTATCAAAAAGCACCACCTCGGCAGTGGAATATAAATCAGCAAAAAAGTTTTTTTTCCGCAATAAACGTTATGATAATGGATAACTTGATTATGTGGGAGATACAGTTAATCGTACTTAAAACCTTATGCAACAATGCAAACATTTCACTTTGGTGGATTGTTCCTTTCGACACATCCAATGAATTACAATAAATAATATCCTTATTTCTATTTTTCTTCAATAAAAAATTTAATATCTACAATTTCAAGGCTATATTTAAAATATTTACACTTATTTACTACATTTTTAAGAATTGTTTTCATTTTGGGATGAAACAATTTTGAAAATAATGAAAGCATAAGTAGGTTAGAAAATTAACCATAAATATCGTCTTATCATCGTAATAAAACTTATAAATTGACAAATAATAAACTCTCAAAATTTTTCACCCCCTTGAATCTGTTTTGAACCTTCGGAAATTCAATTTGGTATTACTAGTGTAACACCATCAAATATAGGCCTTAACTGACTTTACTCTCATTTTTAGATGGCGCAATATACTGGGACAAACGTTTTCTAGTGGTAGTATACGTGTGCTTTCATGATAGTAAGGTTCAATGAGGTAACACGATGACTTTTTAAGTATAGGTAATACGTTTACTCAATTTCAGTCTATCTTAGTTAAACAGTTGTTAATTTTTGCGGGAGTTGATGACGAAACATCCAGTGTAAGTCCGCCACTTCATTATTTCGATGTCAAGTGGACATTATTGCGTTCATTCGATAATTTCACAAATACATGATTGGAATACTAAAAACGGTTGTCATCAGTCTACCAAAGCGCCAAATTTCCGAAGATTCTATAAAACAGTTAAAGCGTTCCAATCTTGCATACACTCATCATTCGATTGGTCCAAATCTGATACACGCCTAGTTTAATATTTTAATGATATATCAGTCTCAATGGGCAAACAATTCAATAATCATATTTGCAACGAGTATTTAGATCATAACTATAAAATGGGGAACGGAAGCTTGGTGTACTGTAGCGACTTGCTATTCTAATTTAAAACTGCAAAAACAAAAAAATTAACTATTTCAGAAATGTCCCTTGATAATGTGCGAGATAAATGTCATATCACGAATGTCGTCAACTCAACAATATGTCAACACACTACGTTTCTTTCAATGTCATTTGATCATAATATAGGAAAAGCTTTTTTGAATAAAGCACTCAACATTGTTAACTGTTTTGGGCGCTGCATAGCGACATAAGTCACTATAGGTAGTAACTGGATATAAGGACATTCGGATATAATTTCAAAATTTGTGACGGTAGGCAATCCAACTAATAAGCGAGCTAAATGTCATTGTTCCTTATTTGAGATTTTGGCAAAAAATGCTGTTTAATGTTCATTCTTTATTATTCAATTAACTTGAATGTATAACTTAGCGTGGCTCCTACGATCACGATGAACAGGTAGTGGGGGGATTAAAAGGAAACGTCAGTGGGATGGTCTTGGGTCGTCCGCGCTACTTTAAAAAAGGAAAGGATCACTGCGGGCACCAACCGTGGTAAATTTCCATAATAACAGAGTCGGATTTCGGTTGGAGATCTAGCCCTAATAATCCCCATTATAAATATCCGAATTTAATCTTCCCTACTGTCGACAGTTGCAGATCTGTTGACTCTCGGTGTCAAACTTATAACGCAGGTACGGATTTTTTCAAATCGTGAGCACATTATTCGTCGGATTTTCGTCACTTAAATTTCCTGTAATTACTGAGATCAGAAAATTCTTAATAATATAACGTGTTTCGCATATCAAAGATGCAGCATTTAATATCACCTTCCACTAACCCCCGTTTTTCAAGTACTACAATTTTTTTATTATTAGGAACCCATAGAACGTCAAAAACGGAGTTTAAGCGATTGTTATTTTTTTCGTTTTTTTTGCCTGTGGTGCCGCCGCTACTGGACTGGCTTAGTAGTAACTTTGTCTGGGAATTTCATAAGAACCGAGCGGTAATTTATAGACGGACAAAGGGTTAGCAGACAGACAGACGGAAATGAGTGATATAGTTTTTCGTGATGTAAATGTCATATAAGATCCAAAAACATAACATCTCATTTTGGAAATCTTTCGCGCCAGTGGCGTGCGAAGTAACACGGCTTCAAGATGGAGGAGTAATAATTTTTAATTTGTCGAAGCAACCTAAACGTCAGAATATTCACCATCTCAGGTTTCATTTATTGGCCGGTGTAAGACAGATAGAACAGAGAGACAACCGGGCATAAGTTCAGAAGTTACATTTACGTAACTAGTTATGAACATTTACTTCGCATCAGCGATTGCGAATATGAACACCTATTTGAGAATGACTTATATACACGATATAATACGAAATAGAGCCACCAAATTGTCGGAATACGTCCTTTTCCAATCCATACATACCGCCGCGTCGCTTGGGCTGGCAGCCCGAAACGGTAGACAAAATTCGTGCAAAATCCGATTTGTAGAGGTTTGCGCGCTTCGAAACTGAGGCTTCATTTTTTAATATTGTATAATGAAATTTTTACACTGTGCTGAAAACAAAACCCTACAGGGTGCTATCGAGTTACTTTTTCAGTTTTTCCACTAGGCTCAACAAAAAAAGTAAGCATTTCAACCCACCACAAATCTTGTGTAAAAACAAAATTTTGAAAAGTGCTCCGATATCACCCTGGGCAATTATCTTCTGAACATACTATATGGGTTTCATTCAAAAACAGTGAAAAATGGCCTGTCAGTTTCGAAGCAGCTGCATCCTTGTAAATGACTTGAAACTGATTGCGTCAGAGCCGCCTTAAGATTGTTTACTTTCCATTTATAACTTTTCGCTGACATGTCATAGAATCAAACTTTTTTTGGTATACGACTGAAATAAAATTTACATTTTTTAGACTAGTTGGTTTGCCTTTTCCAGGCGTCTTCATCAAAATATGTCATTTTTATAATCGGGAACAGTTACTCTTGAACGGATTATTAATTTTGCGTCAGAAACCTAATACTAACTTTTGAAGACAACGATAAGTCGCTACAAATACAATGGCGGCCTAGTTGAAAAGTTGAAAATACCATTTCTTCATTTTTAAAACAGATCACATTTACACGGAACCTATATATTAAAAACTGTCCAATTATCTTTTTCCTAAAAAATGTTCTTGAAGTCAATGGAGTACTAATCACAGATTTACACGTGGTCTCACTTGACTAGCGCCTGTCCAACATTTTTTTCCTCATTAAAAAAAGTTACAGTCTTGTTAACTATCTAAAAAATGTTCTATAATTACGTTACTAAACCCCATTTGACTTGTTATAGATGACCTAAGTTTTCTTGGTGTAAACGATAAACGCGAGATGCAATGCAAACAAGTGTGGTCGTCAAATTTGAAAGCTCCTAAAGTCTATTTAAACCTCATTTATTCCGCGTTAAAACAAACACAATCTCTCGATCGCTGCCTGCTCAGGTGATTATGGCTTGCTGGCCAATACGAGCGCGCGAATTTGATCGTCGCGTGTTGGTGTCTGCTTTGGCGGCGCGTAAATGAGATATGAATGCACTATTTGCTCGTGATTATGTATAGCATTGTATTAGACAAATTACTACATATCATAGGAGATTTATGAACACGTTTTCATATCGATGCTTTGAACAATGTCGACAGTGTCCGATTGAATCTAGGTGATTGGCATTATATACAATTTCTACGGAAAAATGAGTTTGTTAAGTTCACACAATACCAAGATTCAATTTTAAAGTAGAAAATGAAAAGTGAATATAACAAACCTAGAGAAAATTGGCTACATGAACTTATGAGCCAGACTCAGATATAACAGAGTCTTCTGGAAACGTCTTTGTCTGCATATCTCGAGTGCAAGTTTGCATTCAATTTTGACGGCCACAGTTATCAGTGGAGGTAATATTTCTGTACCTATGCTTTTTATTGTCTCAATTGAATAAAGCCTTAGAGATGCACCAGCGTAAATTTGTTTAGTGGTAAAATAATGATCTTTCAAAAACTGCCAGATACATCTAAAAATCTGTTCCATAGCACTATGTAATCTATATTTTTGATTTAAGTATCTGAAAATTACACCTCCTCTGACGTTTGCTCTTAAAATCATAACTTCCATCAAAATGTATCATATTGGCCGTCTCAGTACACTTAATGAACCTAGTATTCTAAAATGCATTGCATTAATACGTAAGCAAATGCCTAAAAAATTAAAACAACATGTAAAAATATTTGTGACGTATCTCCTACTTTTAAAATATTTGTAAAGCTTCAAAATAAAACGTTACGGTAGGAATAACTTTGAAAACGTCTGTAATATTTTTAAAATTTATCACATAATGGGTTCAGAAACAAACATTGATATAACATTTATAGAGAATGTTGAACTGTGTTGTGTGTGTGTCAGATGATTAAGTTTTAGATGATATCATTGTCATGTAACTAAATTAATCTTAAGCTTCGAGATAAGTTTGGACAAAATATTTATTAGAAGGTATACCGATTCCAACAGCTATAAAATATTTCAACCAGGTTAATAAACTGACTAACGTATTTCACTTGTAAGTAATCATCTGCTAACCTTTCTAAAACCAATCAAATCAACTGTGTTATAATTGGTACCCGCCAATAACTTATGAAATTGTAATTTAAGTTTATTGTTATCTGAATAAATGGTGAAAATGGCGTAGATCTATTTCCAAACGCAAGTTTATGCACGCGAGTCGTGTCGTGCGACATAAATCCGTACATTTTGTAGGGCATCAGTACCATTTACGCACGCGATTTTCAATTGTATGACCTCTTTAAACGTTTTTCACCAAATCAAATATTTACACAGATATACATTTCGATGTCGCGCGATAACCAGTAACTAGAATATTTTATCTTGTCAATACTGGTAATTCAAAAGATTGCAGCGTGACCCAAAGCATGTGCAAATTAATAATAATGTCAATAAGAAACACCCATATTGTGAGTGACTCTGTTGCGCGACAAAGATAGCATGCCTAAATGGTACCTATACAAAAACACGGCTGCACATGAAATGGCGTAACTTTGTCTCGTAACACAAATAGCATGCAGTGATGCGATTTTATCAACTCTCAAATATTTTAGACAATTACTTCACCGAAACTACAAAAAAATCTGTAGTTGCAGCATTATGATACATTATGTGTGTTTGAGACGACCAATTTACATCCCTATCCATTGACCTCGTCCTCTTTTCCTTACTCTCACCACCATAATACCATCCGACCGACATCATCGCACCTCTTCCCCGTCTCCACCGTCGTAGGAAGATCGAAATTCACAAGAGACCACGCACCACGTCGTGCTACAGCATGCTCAACGCCCACCACCCCGTATGGGCGGTACTAACTGGTCGAGTGCATGGGCACTTGTTGCGCTGCCGCTGTGGTAGGTGGTGCTGTCGAAGACGCGGGCGTAGGAACTTCAGTGGCGCCCTCTACGACGGGCACCGCTGTCACTGTGGCGGTCGCCATTGCACCTGCGCCCATCTCTTGCTGCGCGCACGACTGCAGCATGCTGGTTAGGGAGTGGAAGGTGTGCGTCGGACTGCTCTGGCCCGACGAAGAGTTTGCTATTGACTCCTCGATCAGAGCGGCTATCTTGTCCCTATCAACCTGAAACAAAAATAATTTTCGATTATTATTTTTTCATTTCATAACAATAATATGAGATTTCAAAAAATTAAGGTAAGTAATTATTCTCAAGGAGTTTTGCTAGTCATTCTTCAAGTGTGCAGTGTTCCACTCTTGAGCTTTGTTCGTGTTTAGCTGAAATTGTACATTAATTTGGAATCCTATTTAAATGGCATTAGGTTCTAAACTGATAAGGAAAACACGCGATCAGAAAAGACCCGATAAGATGAATTCCTTTTGCACGCTTATTCAAAAAGCATACGGAAAAAGGAAACATTCTCAAAAATAAGAAACATATAAAGATATACATTTGCATTGGCTAGCAGCATACCACACCTCTGTAATACAAATACAAAAGGCAGTGACATAAGTCTCACAAAGTGACCGAATAAGCTTATTCTGCCATACTGAGCTACTTAAGTTTCATTTCATCTCTGGTGTCCGAAACACTGATTGTCTCAAATCAATGCTTGATAGAGAAGCTCTCTATTGATGGACTTCTTAATCGCTTTGCCAATTACAAACATCAGAGTTATAGGCCTATAGTGATTAGTATCGACTATTGAAGTTTTTTTTGAGACTGGTGAACAAGGGCAACTCAAAGCCCTTAAGCTCTAATGCACCTACCTCTCTTCTTCATCATGTGGCAAGCCTACTAATTCCAATGATAAGGTCTGAATTCAAGGTTATTATGAAACTGATACAGCTACTTGTATTGAAAAACATGGTTACTTTAGACAAAACTCAACAGTATACAAATGCTAGCATATATGTTTTCAAAGATTTTGTTTATAAACTTTTGGTATCGCTTCTGATAACTCACTTATTTTTGAAAGATATAGTATATGTAAATAATAACTATAGTGTTGATTGGAAACGTTGCTCAATTCTGGTATTTTATCTCATGAAATAAGGTCTTATTTACATGTCTCTGCATCTTCTTTTATAAACATGATCAAAATAAGATGCAAAATGTACTTACCTCGTTTATAAAACCATAATGAACTAATTCTTGCGCTAAGACCATTGGATTGTCTCCAGGTGATATACAACTAGTTAACTGCCTATTCATCTTATCATCCATTCGTAGTACAATAGTCAACTGAAACAAAAAACAACTATAAATCACATGTAACGACATAAATGTGTGTAAACAAAAAACTGTACATACGATAAACACCATGGTGTAATAAATCAGGAATTTTGTTAGTTTCTTAGCTTTCTAGATGACAGGAATTTTGGTTGCTGCCAAGTTTATTACAAAAATGAGTTTTTGGCTGATATGAAACACTAAAAAACAGAATAAAAACCAACTTTGGTCTAGAGCAGCGTTTCTCAATCTCAGCCACGGACCACTAGGAAATCAAGCACAAATCAAGGACGCTCAAAAACAAGGGAGTGCCGCAAATTCGGTACATGCTTAAGATGCCTCAAATTTAGGGTTGAAGAGCGGGGGCAGGGAGTGCTCTTAGCATGTTCACAGTGCTGAGTAAGTAAGGGTAGCGATTATGAGACTTTTGGTGGGATTTATTTAGCTGTTCGAACTAATACTGAATTATTTTTCTGTTCATGCCCGCGGTAGGTACAGTTCAGAACTTAATTAGTTACATTTAGAATTATGAAGTTTCCGTATGCTAGCATAGGTGGAATTGAGATAATATATTGTATTGACGTACTGAAACTCTTTAAAAAAAAATTGAAAACGAGATCGCATATTTTAACGAGAGATCAATATGTTGGTGAAATATTTTAAAGAAATAATACAATAATTTGTCTTTTTTCCAGCTGGAGGAATTAATCGTTTTGCCTGAAAAGAAGCATTTTCTTCTTCAGTAGCAGAGGAGGAAATTGAGTGTTGTTAACATGTTAACAACAGTATGCTATTAATTGATTTAACATGATTCAAACAAATTCATTAAAATTATCAGCACTTGACTATGTAATTTTCATTTCTGGTTCTTGGAACTCCTATAATCAGCTCAAGATCTTCAACCTCACTTGATTGAATCGGTTCTAAAGTAATCTTCATCGTTACCCAGTTTATGACTATGTGTTATAAACGGCACAAAAAGCGGTTAAGATTTGTTTGATATATGAGAAAACTGAAAAGTTAAAAAAGGCATACAATAGCAACAAAATCCATTTTCCTAGCTATGAACAGCTCATCGCCGCCATTTATTCTGTGAACAATGTGCTATCGAATTCGCGAACGTTCAGTTTCCTAAATGAACCAGAACTGATAGATCCAGTTTAGAACATTTTCAGAATCAGTTCGGAAATTGTTGGATCAGAGATTCCATTTTCTACCGGAACATTAATTTAGATCTGCGAACGCTCTGTTCAGTTCAGAACTAGTTCGATGGTTTGTTGGAACAGAACTATTGTTAAACGGTTCAGATATGAGACTGCGGACCCCGATTCATATACTTGCAGGACCACATACTGAGAAAGACTAGTCTAGATTTACACTGACGTAAGAACAGAACTAGAAGAAAAATGCCATGTTCTATCTCCAGGAACTCACATAACTGTCAAACTGGAGTATTACAAAATTTTGGATGGATACCAATCATATCAACAAAAACAGCAATTTAAACGTTTATTTTCGCCCTCTATTTGATTCTTTGATTTTAGATGAATCTCCAGGCCAAGTATTGTATTTTAAACTCTATATTTTCTTTTACCTCCTACTCCATTGGTAGAATTGTAATCGTGAAAATTGTTATATGACATGTACATGACGAAAAACAATGTTACTCATTTCCTTCGGTCTGTCTGTCTGTCCGCTAATCCTTGGCCCGTCTATAACTTGAGAAGTATCGCTCGCATTTTCACGAAAGATTATAACCATAACAAAAATGTTTTTTAAAAATAGGTTAAGTGGCGGTGGAGAAAAATGCCAAAAACGAAAAAAATAATTATCTCAATTATTTGATGTTTGTATACACGTCCAACCCCAATAATTCTTCGCACCTATTAGACATATTTCACACCACATATATTTCCCCGTACATTTTCCCTTAAAACCAGAAAATATTTTCTCTTAAGATGGAATCACGTGAACATTGTTACGGAACAAGTTTACTTCTGGGTTGTTTTTTGCGGAGATTGTTCTCGACACATTGCTATCGCGCGGATATCCGATATATAAAGAGCATTTGTACATATACCAGAGGTAATCTAGTACTAGTTGCTTCTAGTATATGGTACAGATTAGAGTTATTCCGTCCTACTGGGTGAGCTCTGAAGTTTTGTTAGAGGAATGCTTCCAGCTCCCACACTTCTCCTTCAACTTCCACAGTTCAGCAACTCATATCCCGGAACTTCCGCATTAACTGGCATAAAAAAGCTCAATAAAACTCCAAAATGAACTAGTTTTTGTTGTTCAATTCATTAATTTTGTATCAATTGTGGTTCATTAAGGCTCCCCCTATAGTATTTGCGTAATCGGATTTTCCACCTGCCAACTCCCACTGTTGCACCTTTTCGATCTGCGGAGTTCCGGTGTCGTTGTAGACTAGAACACCCCCAGCATCTGCTCCTAGCAGATCACTCGGATCCAACGCGTAGCTCCCTAAGGAGCAACGTCCACCTTTTGCTCGAAGTGATCCCGCTACTCCGTAATGGGTGATAATCCTTGGATCATTATCTCCACGTTGAAACACCCTACCTCAACTCTCATAAGTCCTCTTTAGCCATTGCAACTCCCGGGCAGCTCCAATAGGATGTCTCCTTCTCTTAACAATTTCATTACCCTTCAGGTTGTATATCTTTTTATCAGGCTTCACTACCATTAAAGACAAAATTATCATAGAAGATGCTTGCAGAATCTCCCCCATACATCCACAGGAAGCCCCAGATGTGAAGGATTGGCATAAATAACCAAACATCAAATCCGTCACCGTAGGGACAAGCCCAGCTACAAGGAGTACCTCGTCATAGCCAAAGAAGAGGTTCGCAGACGGCAAGGAACTGGATTTGCCGCCACAGTGGAGGATAGCAACTAGTTAATCCTCCAATCAACGATGGAGATCCATCACCAAAAGGCTAGCACCACAAGTTTAGCTATTGGATGTGGGCTAAGGAAGTTTCGTGCCATTCTCGGTAATAGGGAGACCGAGGTCCAACATTCTGCCTCAGCGAGAGCTGTTGCACCACTACGGCAGACACATGCCAACGCCTGTAGTGGGTCTTTGTGCATCGTCACCCCTCCTCCCGCCGAGTAACTCCAGGAAACTTCCCAAAGGCGGCACATAACCTCCAATGAAACAAAGCCGCCTGCGTACTTAACTAATTCACATGACGTACGCACGCCTCAACAGGATCATCAGGATGGGCTCTACAGCAACCACCATCACATGCCAATCCAGAGCAATTGTAAAAAAATAATATTGTAAACAGAATCACTCCATCACCATCTCACGGTCCATCATAATCTACAACAGGCATCGAGACAGACATGATTTGCTGACGTATACTCAAGACCCTTTTGGGGACTTACTGCAAAGCCTGCAGGAATTCTAGGCACGTATTAGAGGGCTTAACTGGTGCTGAACCTAGTCCTTTATGAATTGATGAAGGCGTTGCATAGGAAGTGCAGAGCCAACCTACTTAAGGCTATTTTTTTAGTTATACCAAGATGGCATAAGGTATTTTGAGTACGATTGAAATGCGTGCGTCACAAGGTTCTACAAATCACTCTCGGTGTCTACGATTCGTTTTCACTGCATCGTGCGTACTGAAATCATCAACGTTGGCCTCCTAACCTAAGCTAAATTCTGATCTTGAGACGTTTCTAATTCACATAACGCATGAGTCTAAATGGACCAAAGGATTACGTTACAAATTTAAGACTAGCTTTGAGGCTTCATGCCAAACAAATCTAAATCCATTAATTAGAATCTATATTAAGCTTCAGAAATTAAAAACATAGCTACTCCAACATGCTTTCGTAGATCGTAAACGTAAAGTCATTATTCACAACAATGCATAACTACAAATATGCAGTTTTGTACAAGTTATATATTGAATAAGTTCATGTTTTTATATGAGTGAAGGTAATACGAGCCGGCAATCCTGATCATTTGTTTTCGAAGTACTTCCACAAAGGGATCATATTTGTTCAATATATCATCGATGGAGAGGGAGAGGGGAAATAGGAGTCCGTTGGAGTGATACTTGACATTGACATTGTTCGGGAATTTTAAATCTATAAAATTAGTTTTAAGCTAGAAAATGTCGATGGAACTTACCAATAAATCACAGCTTTCTTCTTTGGACTTAACATCACACATCATATTAACAATTTTCCTAGTTTCTACGTCAGTGGGTTCCGGGGTGACGGACTTGACAGATTCCGCCATTTCCGGTGAGATCGCCCTCGATCGAGCGGGAGGGGGTTGTTTCCAACCGAACGCCGTCAACGGATAGATGCCATTCCTGAAACAATAATAAAAAATTAGCGAAAAAGTCTTCTAGAAATGAATGAATATTACTGTCAAATCAAAAGCTTACATTACGCAATGGAATAAGATAAAATTGTTTAGAAATCGTAGGGCACACTACACGACATTCTTATTCTTATCGTATGGTGGTGGAATATGACGGACACTTTATAAGCCTTCAAGTCCAATATTTGAAAAACCTATTTAGTTTTACCTAAGAGTACCTTCTAATTTTACAGTAACGTTGTAATGCTATCGTCAATTTTTTAGACATTCGGATAATTCGAAATGACTTAGGAAATCACGGATTGTCATGAAAATTGAAATAATATGGGGAAATATAAAGTTTCTCGTGAAAGCCAATATAAAAACGTTTGTATTGTAACTAATGTGACAAATTGCTTTAAATACCCATGTGCTACACAAAATTAACAAGGTAGTAATTTGGTAGAAAACCTAACAATTCTGTAATACGTACGTCCATGTGATTTTGAAAACTACTGAAACTAACCCAGACCAAAATACGGAAAATTTCAGTGAAAAACTGACTAAGAGCTGTTTGACGCAATGATTTACTAGAATAACAAAAAAAAAAACGTAAGCATACTAATTCATATATCTAACCAGTTACAACTCCATATGCTAATATTTACGAATGTAGTTTGTTGTTCTATTTGAATAAGAATGAATCAGAAAAGGCTCAAAATACATAAAGAAGGTAAATACACGTTAATACATCAAAGGCTCATAAATAGTGTTAACTAAATCGATTTCGAGGAAACTACCTTCAAGGTAAAATGAGTTGAAGAAACAAAACAATAAAGACATAGTAGACAAAGCAATGATAGATTTGGTTAACTTCTGTTTGCTTATCAAACTTTCAGCAAAACTGTTAATTTGTTACTACGGAAATTCATTTTTCTGCATTTTGCATCTGCGTATAATCTGGAATCTCTAAAAAGCCAAGATTTGTAAACTTTGATGAACTTTTTAACACAAATCTATTGTCACCATGTAGCCTCACAGCCCGTAAATATTTAAACTGTTTATTAACATCTGATTAACTCGAAATCATTTTTCCAGAATATTATGTGATGACACTTTCTCTCTAATGTAATTATAAATTAATAGGAACCCAAGTGGTAAACATCCAATTAGGAGATATAAGAGACAATAAATCATATTAACGTGCGAATTACCGTGCCGTTTGACAATTTGCCAAAAAACAAGTTCGTTCATAAAAAGTCATTTTTTCTCAGAAGTTGTTGGCTAGGTCCAATATTTTAGATCGTGAAAGTCCAGAGGTGTAGCTAAACAAAAATAATTCCGATATTATCGAACTAATGCCTGCTTTACGACACACAACTTTTTCTATGTTGTAATACAATTTTGCCCTTAGACGATTTCAGAAAAACCGATTCGGTTCGGAAATACATGATGAACAACAAAAACAACTTGTGAAACTTCTTGATCCACAAACACTGCATATAATGACTATCTTCCGGTAGAATCCAGAGCTCAAATTTTCCCCTTATTCACCCTCGAACTCTCAAATACATCTGGCCGGTTCTTCATGGATTAACATCCTGCAACAGTGGGATTTTCCACTTGAGTTGTGTAAACCGATAAGTCCACATAGGAAATAACCTAGGTGATTTACGTCCGGAAGTCCAGCAGGCCACAAGTATATTGTATATTTAAAAAACGCTCCATGGTTAAGTTGCTGGATGGAATCCAATAACAAATTACTGTGGTGTAATTGAAAAAGTTGGAAGTACCAAGGAATTGTTAACAGTGTTTGAAGATTAAAATGTTTGACGTTTAATTTATCTTAATAAAAAATATTTTGCGAAAAAGTTTTTTTGCCATACGTTCTTGAAATGAAGTGGCTCGTCAGCTTAGAATAGTCCACAGATTTGAATTTGAATGTTTGCCCCATCTTTTCCTTCAATTATCTCAATTATCGTCAATGACCAACTGATCTGGCCACAAAATGTTATAAATGAAAAACAAAGTGCTGTCAAATCTAAGATTACTACTCACATGAAATATATCAGCTCGAAAGGATTTTCAACAAAGGAGATTACACGTAAGATACGCCACTGTTTGATAAAAATTCGCACGTAGGTATCCTCACCTGAGCATCCGCGCTACGAAAACCAGAAACAGCGACACCAGGATCAGCATGAAAACTTTGTAATTTTGGCAGCACTAAGACGGCGGAGTGTCACAAAGTACAACTAAAGCAGTAAAGCAAAAAAAACGGAATGACGCGCGCGTACCAAACACATAAGCGGCCACGGGCCTACACAGGTGCTTTATATTTAGATTTGACCAAAATTAAATTTTTATTCGTCGGTCGTGCCAAAATGCCAGTACCGGCAGCGGATGTCATAGCTTTCATCTTATATATTCGTGCGTTCGCGAGCGATGATAGTTGGGTTATAAAACGTTAGATACTGTTTCGAATATTAATAGCAATTATCAATACAGTATAGGTTTAGTCATTGGAGACAAACAACGAAAAAAAGTCTCCGAAGACTCGACCTATACCATACTGATGATGACTTCAAAGCATCAAACATCATTGTACTCAGTTGGTTATGGATACATAGACGGAAAGCAAACATTTTCAGCCGGTGTTTATCCAAATGTTGCATAGTACGTCAAAGCCGACAGCGTGATGAGCACTTAGTACTCTCCTGAGTGAAGAGATGCATATGTGGTGGGAGACACTTGCCCGTTTCATCGAAGCGAACTGTCCAGTGTTGCCAGGTACAGTCGTTATGTTTCCGATAGATTAGTGTGAAAATTTTCCGTAGATCGTGATTTTTTTCGGTAGTCGGCAAAGCAAAAAGCAAAAACTTGCCGGTGATTTAAAATTGAAGAGGAGCGCACCGTGCTTGAGATCCACTCGACTTTGAAAATCGAATATCGCAGGGTTGCAGCAAATCCCGGCAATCGAAAATTCCAGAGGGTAGCATCAAATGTTGAAATACTGCTTTATAAATATTAGTGAAACGCAGGGTTGCACCAAATCGAACAACGAGGAGCCGGGGGTGGCAAAGTGCTCTATTCTTGTTTCTTGAAATCCAAGAGGAGGATAATTGGATCGTTTTTGCTAGAAGATAGATTTTTTTGGACATGTGCTTCATTTTTGAATTATTAAATAATATAAATTATAGTATAGATTATTTAGTTAATACGATAAATTTGATACATAACATGTTGTCCTCTAACAGATCGGCAAGACATGCATAAAATCTAACTCTGAATCGGCTCATCTCTTTTGAAGAATTTCTATTATGCTTTTAGAGCCAGACTGGGCAGATATTTTTGAATTGTGAATTTTAAAAGCACATTGAATATGATTTGTATTCATTGTCATGTAAAGCCATCTTATACAGTTTTTTTTTTTAAAATGGTTTACTGTCGAATTAAATTATTTCAGAAATATGCTATTTGAGGATTTTAGATATTTTTCGGTAGATTTCGCATTAAAATTGTTAGACCTGGTAACACTGGGACTGTCAGCCACAAAAGCTCAGAAAATGTAGTTTCCTGCTAGTGACGTAGGGGGCAATAGTACCGCGTTTGGCGAACTACTCATCGGTGACAGTATCACCTCTTTGCTTTTTATTGTTTCCATCCATTCATCGTGGGGGCTGTAATTCAGAGATACCGGGAACTTAAAATTCCGTCTGTATATCGCATACATCCATTACTCAGAAGTTTCTTTCGTCTCTAGATAAGTATTTTCATTTACCCTTAATAATATAATTTCGTTGTAAAAGCCGTCATTTATTGAAATTCAAAACACGAGTGACCCGAGTCTTTACACGCGCCAGGAATATATATCCTAAACCACATCTGTTGCTGATTATGCATAATCAGAAATTATGTATTTTTATCAGACGTACTGATATTATTGATTATAAAAACTAATAGGGCTGACACGTGAAAACCCCCTCGGGAGGTCTCGCTTGGCATTCTACCCTGCGCGGAAATCAGTTGTGCGCTACAATGTCAACTAGAGTAAATACCTATTTTTTATACTTTAATATTTCATACATCCTTAACTTGTGAGTGCTTGCGAGTTATTCCTTCAGCAGCCCTTTGCACGGCACAATCGAGAATCTGCGCAGTCACAATCGTGACAATATCACGGTTTACGTACAAGTTTTAATTGTTTATATGTACGGAATAACACAATTTTGATATAACTTGATTTTTGTCTTCGGCCCACAGTTGAAACTTTATAGATTATCAAACCGACTAACATCTGGCTGGCATTTTTATAATTCTGAAAATTATAGAAAATAAGACTACATCCATCAGTGAGAATATGAACGATATATCCAGAGTCACAACAATAAATTTAACAGTATACTGACTCCATAGATATTTTTTTATCCCTAATTCACGGCCAATCCAGATATCTTGTTTTTAATATAGACTGAAAAAAATCCGCATTGCTAAAATTAACACTAAGGGGTCAAGAAAACACATAATTCTTCCGCCAAGTACGCTGCTGGTAACATTTCACTTGGACTTAACATAAACAACAACTCTGCTAAGAGATTCGCTATATAAAAAAATAGCTGTCAGGTCTGACCTTGTTGGACAGATAGAGAATATTTTTAACACATCACTGCTACGATTTATATGAAAACTGTATAGAATCTTGCAATATAAATGTCCCATTTGCCATATTTATATACCAGATGTCAGATAAATACCTATTACTACATAAAACGAACGACAATGAATTGCATTTTTTTTAATGATGAAAACTAAATTCTATATTGAATTAAAAATAGGAATCCGTTTTGAGTTCTGTGTTATCTCTAGGTTAATATGTTCCAGACATTTTGAGTATTCTATTTTGGCATAATAATCCACTAAAAATTATTGGTATATTACTCAACGGACTATACGCGGTGTCCCAGAGTAACATGTTAATCTCTCCTATGCATAAAGAACAAAAAAATAATG